CTAAACAACTGCATCTCTTTCAGTCTCTCCATGACAGATCCATATTCTGTCTGGATCTTTGACCAATCCTGGTGCTTTTTTTCTGGCCCTCTTCTCATCCCTTTATCCTTGTGTTGTAATACTGTAAGCATGGGCATGTTTCTAACCCCTCCTGCTATTCATTAACTGGGAAACAGATGCTCTTTCATGAAAGATTTCTTCAATTCCTGAGAAGTTTTAGATATACTTTGAGTAGTAAACAAAACTCTAGGAATGCTCAAAAACTAAGAAAAATACTAATTTGTTCAGGATTTTTACAATAGTTTTACAATGTAGTTCTCATATTACAATGGCAGAGAAGTCCTCACTTTAGAAATACCGCCATGAACTTCTTTCTTCCTCCTTCGGTGTAACAAGGAAACTTAGATAATGAAGGTGAGGAGGTGACTTCCTGAGGTGAGTTTGGCTCAGACAATTTCACCATATCACTCGATTAAGGTAGACATACGACTTTTAACAGTTTGGATCTTCTTGAAGTGTTTCATTAGCAGGAATCATGCAACAGGCAGCCAGTGCTGATAAACAGAACACCCTCAGCTCTCAGCTAAGAGTCCAGCATCACTGAGCAGTAACGTTCCTTAACATGCAGCTCTGGCTTTCAGTCTTGAGCTTCTGATCCTTTTCATGGCTACAGAAATTTTGCTGAAGATTAGATAAAAGGCAACAATAAATAGTTGGTGCAACCACCAACCCCTGGGAAAAGCTTTAGTCTGCAGTTTAACAGTCAAGACCCAGCCAGACTGGGGCTGGTATCATAGGACATATCACATAATGGCACTCGTCTGCAAGCTAAATCTGTCCCCGTCCTGCAAGGGTCGCCGTGCTCTTCACAAAGGGAACGGAGAGGCTGCTAGTGAAGTGTAATTTACACCCTCCATCACGGGGCCAGACTTGGTGCTATAGCCAGCTCACAAGCAGGAGTGAGACTAGGGTTGTTCTTTGGTGCAGTCTTGCTGAAAAAATAGATACGCACTGACTATCTTATTGAGGTGAGAACATTCGAGTGACAAGTGTCACAAGCACTGACATGCAGCAGTGCATCTCGATTCTTATTTTTTCTACCTCTTGCTACATAATTTCATCTTCCCTGCTGCAGCTAATGGCTGAGTGACAAATTAAATCTAGAAAGGTCCAATGGCTCCCACAATGTCCCTTTCCAGATAAGGACTGGAAACACAAAACCCTTTGTGATGCTCTTCTCCCTTTACTTTTTTTTTGAGGTAGTCTGCTTCAGTCAAAACTTGAGTTGCATGTCTTGAGTTGCATGGCCCTTGCTCCCTCAAAAGCCTTCTCAGTTCCAGTTGAAATGGCTGCAGCCAAATCCTTGGAATTTGGATATGTAATTTTAGAGACCATCCCAACTGAATAATTACACAATTACCTCTTTTGTCACAGATGGATTGAAATTGCAATCACTAATATTTCCCAATCCTCTCACAGGGAGATTAGGCAATGGAAGACTTCTGAAGGTTTCAGTTCAAATCTGAACTCTTCATAAATCTGCTAGCAGAAGCCTCTTCCCCCAGCATTCAGCAGAAAAGTGTCTGTGCCTGATTTTTTCAGTTTCAAAACTTATTCTGTTTTGGCTTTCTATTCTACTCTTGTCTAAAATATCCTGACAGCCTGTCAGTGTGCTCAAATGAAGGTATATCTGCTTCTTTCTGTTAGGGCAATTAGCCTAATTATTTTCCATGGTTAGCCTGAAGCACCTTAACTGTATTGATCTAAAAAGAAATGATAGCTCATGAATCCTTTTTGTACAAAATATTTATTTATTTAATTTATTTATTACTGGAGAATTCTAGTGGCTCTTTCATTGTGATACTCAGCTGAAATATAAAGCAGAGCAGTAACATTTGACACTGCTCAAGATCACTTCCCAAGAAAATTTTCATTTTACCATTACTCTCTATTTTTTTTCCAGAATGTATGTATTTCTCCAAAAACTATGCACTTGCCACTTTTTTCTGACTACAATAACCAGTAATGTAAATCTGTGGTGGACTCCTCATGCCCTAGGATATCAAAATAATCATCACAGAGGATAGAAGTCTTTTTGTGTGTGTGTGTGTGTGTGTGTGATTTTCAGCATAAACAGACTTTGCAAGTACTGATGTTACTAAATGCTCGCGCATCTCTTAGAGAAATGAAGAATATTACGTTCCCTGGGGGTTGGCTGCAGTGGGAGATGTATAACTGACAATAACAGCCATACTTATAGATTTGAAACCAGCTGGCCTTCTCCAGAGGTGAATAAGATCTCAAAATAAGATGAGCCGCATGACTCTAACTTATCAAACAGCAGGGCTGAATTTAGTGAGAATCAGCTTGGCAGAAAG